CTCGGGCAGGGGAAGCGTCTCCCAGGGCTGAGCGTGCTCAAAGCGCCACCACTGAGTATCCGGACGTGCAGAACGTCTTAAACCTGTTGTGACTCTGAAGGAGCAGTACATGAGCTGACAGCCCAGGGCTGCACTGCCGGCAAAGGCACGCTGTGAGAGAATGGGGTGGGCAGGATCTATGGAATAGGCTTTGGAGGCTTCATGTTGCACCTTGTGTCCTGTGTCCTGTGTCCTGCCTCTGGCAGCAACCACGACTCTGAGGAATGTAGTGGTAGGACAAGGGGCGATGGGTTTAAACTGAAACAGGCCGTTCAGGTTGGAGATATGGCAGAAACTCTTCCCTGTGAGGGTGCTGAGGCGCTGGCACAGGGTGCCCAGAGAAGCTGTGGCTGCCCCATCCCTGGCAGTGTTCAAGGCCAGCTTGGACACAGGGGCTTGGAGCAACCTGCTCTAGAGGAAGGTGTCCCTGCCCGGGGCAGGGGTTGGAGCTGGAGGAGCTTTAAGGTCCCTTCAACATAAACTGTTCCACGATTCTGTTCTTGGGGAACAGGGTGCAAGGCTGGTCTGGGGATTCTCCCAGTCATCACCTGGTTGGGGGTCAGGGCCTCAGGAAGGTCCTGATGTGATTTATCTTTATAACGTGGAGCAACCTGCAGTCTCTCTCTGGTCACTGAGGGCTCAGAGCAAACTAAATGTATGAGTTGGTGAATGCCCAAACCCACGTGTGCTCCTGGCACTGCGGCCCATGCAGGTCATCACCCAAAACCCTCCTGGGTGTGAGGAGCTTGGGTTGCCCCGGCGGGGACTGACAGAGCTCCTTGTTTCTGCAGGACAAGAAGTACACACTGACCATGGAAGACCTGACACCAGCACTTGCAGAGTATGGCATCAACGTGAAAAAGCCACATTACTTCACATGAGGACTGAGGGGTTGTCACTGGAACTTCAGGTCACTTCCATGCCATTAAACACCTGGGTAGGGTTTTTGGTGGAACAGCGTCTTGTCTCCTGCCCTGCCTGCAGTGAAACAGCATGCACTGCTGGCTGGGGCCTCTGTTCTCACCACAAGCTGCTCCTGTGCCTTTGGAAGGTGAGGAGAGCGGTTGGCAACTGCTTCCAGTTGCATCCTCTGCCCTTCCCGGGCGGTTCATCCCTGCCCCAGGGGGCTGCAGGGAAGGTGTGATGGGACTAGGTGCAGCTGCAGAGCCCAGAGCCTGGGGACTGTTGGGCAGCCCCTGTCCATCTCCTGCCCTCCCTGTTCTCCCAGTGCTTCTCACAGCAGCTTCATAACAAATGTTTATTTGGGATGCTGGCAGCTTTTCCACGTGGCCTGGATGGAAAACCAGGGAGTGAAGCGCGAAGCCGGGGTGTGCAGCAGGCAGCGCCCCCCTGGCTGCTCCGGGGGGAGAGCTCCAGCCTCGGGGCAGCAGTGCCCATGGCCCAGCGGCCCACAGCTCCGGGGAGAGTGCAGGTGCTGCCCTGGGCTTGGTGCCGCGAGGGCAGAGGTGTGTGTACCGTGTCCATGGCTGGTGCAGGAGGGGGATGGTCCTTGCTCCCCCCGGCGCTGGGTTAGAGAAGGCACTTGGGGGTGTGGAGGGGAAGCGTGGCAGTGCAGGGGGGCATTGCCCTCTACTTCTCCTGCATCTTCTCCAGGATGGGCACAATCATGTCAAACTTGGGGCGCTTGGCTGGGTCCTCGTTCATGCAGATCTTCATTAGCTTGCAGATGTGCGGGGAGATGCCGGGCGGGATGGTTGGACGCAGCCCCTCCAGGGCCACCTTGAGCAGGGGAAGAGAGGGGCAGGATCCCA